GGAAATATAATCTTAATGAGACCAATATACATAGCAGATGGCCTTTTAAGTAAGAAATGTAGTCATTACTGGGAAAAAGAGCACCTTGCGAGAGGTTAATACCCAGGGAGTCTTGACTTGTAGCTTTAATTAGTATTAATTATTAGCGAAATTGTTCTCAAAATCGGTGCACTGCTGCTCCTTTCTGTGTGATATCTACATAGCAGAATCAAAAGTTATATAGCGTTGAAATCAAAGCTGAGGTATTTTATTAGGGCAGTGAGTATATCATCAAGAATTGCATTGCGAGTTCAGTAGCTGTGGAAGCTTCATTGATTTCGCTCCTAGCAGAGTCAGTTACTGTCTCTTGGAATTACCATCTATCTGGATGGCCTAGGTTATACACAGGAGAAATGACACCTATATGAAGATATATCTGTCATCAGAAAGCCATACAACAAAGAGAATATGAAGAAGGAAAGGGAGGGGGGGGGGCTGGAATTTCGACAGTATCACATGTGTAAACACACATACAATTGTAAATAATGCAGATTTAATGTTGGAACAGTCTGTCGACATTTTAAAACTACATTATATACCTAGGAATACATACTTGCACTAACCTTGCGACAACCAGACTGGACATGAAAATACTTTATTTAACTTGTACTAAGCAACACCCACTAAATGCTGGATTCAAGCTACGTTACATTACCTTAATTTATCAGAGAGAGGTGAGGCCGCTAGACTAATGTGGGGAAACAAGAATAAAAACAAATACCCTGCTAAATTATTTTGTTGCATATAAAGCACGACAGCACGCACGCGTGCGCGCGCGCACACACACACACACACACACACACACACACACACACACACAACACACACACACACACACACACACACACACACACACACACACACACACACACACACACACATCAGGAGGAAAACACCAGTCAAGGACCAGGTAATCAGGCAGAGGAAGGAAGGAGGAGAGATCACAAGAGGTGACCACGAAGTATGTGAGGAACTCAACATGAGATTCAAAGTGTTCACAGAGGAAACAGAAAGATGGAGAGGTGCTCCCCCAGCCATGAGTGCCCTCTGCCTGGGGAAGCAACTAGCTCCTACCTGCCCAACCATCACGAAAATTCTTGTGCACGAGTAATCCGGTGACTAAGAGCTGCCCAGCGGTGGAGATCAGTTAACAACCTAGTTAATTAAGACGACTTATCCTACCTTATGCATTGAAGTGCCCTAACCTTCGATAACGCATTGCAACACCAATTAGCCGTTTATTGCCGTGAAATGTTATCTATCTCGCTGTTAAACCAGTCGGTTACACATGTCCCAGTGGACGTACAGCTGCTCCTACAGTCCGCAAGTAAGTATCTAGTAGTATCACTGAATGCACATTTCTTGTACTTTTGGGGCCAATTCTGGCAGCAGGAGGTGGTTTGGGGAGATAAGCCTTTTACGTATATAGGAGCAGCGGAAGAGAGAGACTACTATTTCATGTCTCGAGGAGCATTGTAAAATGGGAAAATTCTGGGAAGGATAAGTCCTGAAAACTGAGTGTGGGTATTCGTGAATAGGTATGTAGTATGAGAAGTATTGGCGAAGAGGTCTGGTGGAGTTGGGAATTCGTTATAACCTCAAGGATAGGGGATATTGTAGCTTTTGCGGGAGCAACTGAGGAGGGGGAGGTCTTTAAGGCAAAGTCAGCAAAGGCTACTGGGAGAGCCTCGGGACTGATGGGATACCAGCTGAATTTTGCGTCAAGAATTAGGAGCTGTTGAAAGCGTTTTTGGTATGCCTTAAAAAAGTCATGAAAGAGGGAATAGGATAGGTCCTGTTCAGTCGATGGCAGTCATTGTTGTAATCACAAAGAGTAAGATACAGGTAGGGAATCAAGAGTATCGGCCTATTTTATTCTTAAGTGTTAATTATTAAATCTTTACTAAGGAGTTGGGGAATCGATTAAAGTGTGCTGATGAGGGTCATGCTGTCGCAATGGGCCAGTATGGTATTTCGGGATGATCTCTCTTAGTTATCATTCCATTAGTGATGATTTTGAGTGTCAGATGCAGAAGAAAGGGGAGAAGGGCGCTTTATTCGCCCTTGATTGGAAAGGTGCATTTCATTATGTAGAGAGGGGGAACTATTAGTAGTATTCTCCTTTTGCAGGGATTTGGTGAGGAAATTGTGAGGTGGGTGGATACGTTGTATTGTGGAGCATTAGCTAGAGTCCTGGATAATGGTAGAGTAGGGGGTCTATTCTTACGTGTAAAGGTTGAAGTCAGGGTTCTCCATTGTCCCAGATGCTTTTTGCATGTGTGCAATACCTGTTCTATAAATTAGTGTTAGTAAGGAACTGGGATTCTAGCGGGGTGTTGAGAGTAGGAGGGAGAGTTTCTCCAGCGGTTTTTTTTTTTTTTTTGGGTATGTAGATGATACTATGTTACTGGTAAATGAAATACCAGACTTGATACTCTTGAAGGTATTAGTTGTCAGGATTAGGGTAGCAAAACCGTTACTCAGGTGGAGGGGTCTTTAAAGATTTATGGGATTCTGTACACAAAACAAGGCCATGGCGAGTGTAGTAAATTCTGAGAGCGTACAGTGTAGTGTATTTAACAAGTTGTTACTGTTAATTTCCTTCTGTATAGGCATTCTTTTTATGTCACTGACGTTTAGCCTTTAAGCAACTAGTATGGTAATGCGTTTGATCCAAGGTAGGTATTCTGTTTTTTGCCTCTTTTGTTGAAATAACCCATATTAATTTCCCTTTCCTATTATATTTTATGATTGGTTTGTATATATTATTTGATACTGAGTTAGCCTTACACAATGCCAGTTTTGGTGCTTGGGATTTCTGCAATGTTTCGAGTCTACAGTCTGTGTTCACTGTGCAGAATCTAGAGCACAGTCACTGCTCTGAGATGATGGGTCGCCATTCAGGACTTTGTTCAAAGTATCCATAAACTCTGTTACACTTTAACTAATACATTTATTACATTATCATTATAAATTTGGTTTCTGCATCTGTTTATGCTTGAACATTTCCTCTGTGGGGTGGAATGTTAACTTTTATTTTTCAGTTTAATTGTCCTGTGTGCTAACAGAATGTGTTCATAGGTGGAGTTCACTATACGTCTTGGGACTGATTGACTAAGTCTGGATAGGGTGTGACGTTCCTTGAGTACGTTACGTTTATTCGATGATCACACACCCATTGGCATGCCCTTTTGATCAGCAAACTGGCAATTCAGAATATATGTGGTATGCTTTCCGACCAGCGAACCAGGTGCTAAGGGTTTTACGATCAGGATCCCCATCATTATACCAGTACCTTGGTTTAACCAGCCAATCACAAGGAAGCCCTCCAAAGCTGTGAAGCAGAGTGGTACACTCGTGATGCCGCTTTGGTAGACTTACCATGGTAGCTGGTTACCACGGTTCTCACCGTGCCTTGTGCTTGCATTTGCCTCATTGTACATAATTGTAAATACTGTACATAGGCTATACATATTCTGTAAATACCAGCTTATTTTGGTGAAGGAAATACAATAATTTATTCTCTCTGCTGCCTTTTTTCTCGCCCCTAAGTGGTACGACAAAGTGTGCAGGCCAATAGTCTACATTTGTACTCGTAATAATATAGCAGTTTTGGGGACCTGCTGCTGTATTAATTGTCCAGCTCAGTCAACAAATAGCATGAGAGCTGACCTACCAGTCAGATTGTTGTCATTCTTGAACAGCTGATGCGAGTGAAACGTTCAGTTAAGATGGTCTGGTTCACTCGTACTCTTGTATTCAGAAGTGTAACCTGCTGTTATGAGTGGCTCTTGGCTCTCTATCTTATTGTTATACAACTGATTTAACTTTGTAAATACTGTACTTAGTGATGAAGGAATATACGGGCAAAAGAAACTTTTTTTTTTCCTTGCTCTTTATTGCTAAGTTGCTCTTTTCTTTGCTGAATCTAGTTGCAGCTAGGTGCAACTGACCTTAAATTTGGTACCTGCATTGGTAATATAAGGTTATCCTTTACATATGTTTGGGGTATTTGACTATACTTCTGTAGTGAGTGGACGAAGTATTTGTCCATCTTTGTGAAGTCATCCTATTCCCGGGGTGAATGGTCATTGCGACAGAATGTCTCGGTAGTGTTTACCCATTTTTTAGTGAACTAAATATTTAACTTGATTACATCTGCACTCTTACTGTGCTGATTTAGGATCACATGCAGGCGAGTTGTACACCTTGGTATATGTAGTTGTCTTAAGATATTTGATGTGATGCATATAAGACATATATGATATTCGCGAGTTGATTAGCATGCATTTCAAATGCAAAGGATAGATTTATTATCGGGTATTATGCGACTGCTGTTTCTTATGCAGACTCTACATATAGTTGCAAAAATATCTTTATTCAGTAAAGATGGGTGAATTTTTCTCTTTTGTAACTAGAAAGATTTTTGGGTTGAAACCGTGGAATGTCCAGCTTAAAACAATCCCTACTTTGGAAGTAGAGGTAAGCATGTTCGACTTCGAGTTTGTAGATGTGTTTTGTGTGTTCGTGTGTGATGTTTGTATCCATGGGGGTTTGTATATGTGTGATATTTGAAGATATGTGATGTTTGTAAATGTGTGACTTTTGTAGGTGTGCGGTGTTTGTGTGTGAGGTTATTTACTATTTTACTGTAATGTAAAATGTCATGAGTTATAGTGAAAGATAAATTTAAAAAAGAAAATATTACTGTTGAAGCCGTTTGACATGTACGATCGACACAATACCGACTGCAAGTGATCAGTGTACATGCAGTGAGAGAGATGTAAATATTTCAGCGAATATACTCAGAGTATTTCTCTAATGGTTAACCTCCGTAAATGTACAGTAATGAACAATAACTATACATTAAATTAAAATCATTGTTGTTAATCGGTAATAAATTTTTCATAATGTTTCCAAATGAATTCGTTTGTTTCCTATCATTCAATACATTCCATTCTTTAAAGAGTGGTGTTTGCTGGATCTCTGAAAACACCCATGAAGAGAATGTTGTTGATAACGTTGTCAACAATAACGAAGACAAACGGGCGATCACAAGTGAAGACACGAGGGCGTGGTGGCCTGTTGATAGACGATAAGTGGAAAATGATCAATGCAGTAGCAGCGGCTGCCTCTGTGCCCTCCTCGCTGACCTCCACCACAGCCTTATGGATCCCCTTCGACACTTTTAGTTTTCTCACAGGGTCGTAGTTTGAGAGGTTAGCATTATCATTGAACAGGTCATTGATTCCCAGTTGCTTGAGAGCCTGAGGGAGAGAGAATGTAATGCAATAACTGAACAACAGCATCTTGTTTCTTAGAAGATAAATATTTTCGCGAACCACTTAGAAAATTTCTAGGGTTTCTGAAACCATGTGAGTTGAAATGTAAAGCGGACGCGTCAGCTGTGGCCGAGATAATAGCATATCCTGCAAAGTAAACAAGGTCCTCAGCATAACGCCTTGATTTGATTACTATTTGTTCTACTTATCTTTTTGACCATGCAAAAATTAACGAACTAAAATGCGTGTGAAAACTCTCGTTTTATATAGAAGACAAGTTGTCAACAATACTACAGTCTCAGTCTTATTCTATTTAAGCTATCAAGATTTTACCACCAAAATAGGTTACACTATCACATGTAAAATTAACACAGTAAAAAACGTACATAAATACCATACTTATAGAAACTCTGTAAAATTATTTATAAAACTTTACACACACACACACACACACACACACACACACACACACAGCGCAGAATTCAGTCGGAGGAGGACCAGGTTGGACTACAGAGAGATCTGAACAGGTTATAGGCCTGGTTTAGCAACTGGCTCCTGGAGTTCAACCCAGTCAAGTGCAAAGTTATGAAGATCGGGAAAGTGCAAAGAAGACCGCAGACAGAATACAGCCTAGGAGGCCAAAGACTACAAACCTCACTCAAGGAAAAAGATCTTGGGGTGAGTATATAACAGAACATATCTCCTGAGGCGCAAATCAGCCAAATAACTGCTGCAACATATGGGCAACTAGCAAACCTAAGAATAGCTTTCCGACATCTCAGTAAGGAGTTGTTCAGGATTCTGTACACCGTGTACGTGTACGTGTTGGAATATGCAGCACCGGTTTGGAACCCACACCTGGGCAAGCATGTCAGGAAATTAAAGACTTGCAAAGGTTTGCAAGAAGACTAGTCCCGGAGATAAGGGGCATGTCCTACGAGGAGAGGTTAAGGGAAATCGACCTGACGACATTTGAAGACAGGAGAGATTGGGGGGGATATGATAACTACATATAAATACTGATAGGAGTCGACAAGGTGGACAGACAGGAAGTTCCAGAGATGGGACACAGCAAAAAGGAGTCACAGCTGGAAATTGAAGACTCAGATTAACCACAGGGATGTTAGGAAGTATTTCTTCAGTCACAAAGTTGTCAGGAAGTGGAATAGTCTGGGTAGTGATGTAGTGGAGGCAGAATTCATACAGAGCTTTAAGAAGTGGTATGATGAAGCTCATGGAGCGGGAAGAGTGACCGAGTAGCGGCCAGTGAAGAGGGGGGCCAGGAGATGTGACTCGACCCCTGCAACCACAACTAGGTGAGGTCAAGTAGGTGAGTATACACACACACACACACACACACACACACACACACACACACACATGATCGGCAGTGGCCACTGAGCAACGCATCTGTCTTGACCCGCCTGTGGTCGAACAGGTGGTTTCCGACTCCAGAGCTAAGGGTGCAAAAATTGGGATGTCCTACGACACTGGCAAGTCAGTAACAGAAGCAAGTAAATACTGGTGGATAGCAAGTACGGACTGGATGTCGGAGGGACGCCATTGGGTGGAAAATAGATGAAGTACCATCCAGTGTGGAAAGTAAGGACGGAACCTCATTCAATGATGCACTGCACCTTTCTCACACTAGGAGTACAAATAGCAGTACACATCGGACACTCATGTGGCCCTGCCTAAATTCCTACAGCGGTGCCAGGTTGACCCTCCGACAAGGCAAAATGGCATGTTCCACACGTATTCAAGCAATCATAGGTCCTGGTGGAGTCGATGGTTGGTGCATTCGGACAAATTGATACAGTGATAAGAGCTTCAATGATGCAATTTCTTGGTAGATGCTAATACCTCAGGAAAACCAACAAAATCTTCTGTGTGCACAAATTACATACAGAAGTAGAGATCCTAACAAAAAAAAAAGGACAAAGTGGACTAAATGAAAGGGAATCGATGATGGCTGAGAAGGAAGTATGGTCAGAAAGGCTCAAGAGCAAAATGGAACAAGAGTGAGATATAGGCTAAATGAGTTTTGCAATACAATGGTGGAGAAGTAATCTGCAGAGAGCAAGAGCTGGGAGATATGAACTGTAGCTGATGAGGCAAAGATACAAAGCCTAGTGGAAGAACTGGAAGTGCTGAAGCAGGATATAAAGATGACAAAGGAGCAAGGTGATAGAAACAGGAATATCAGAGGACAGCGAGGAGGCTGAAGGAGGGAGAGGAGATAAGTGCCTTGAAGAAGTGATATCAGGCTACCGGGGGGCCCAGGAAATAAGGGAAACAAAGTAGATGCTTAAATCAGATTCAGAGATATGGAGGGAAAAGAAACGGGAAGAAGAGACAGAGAAGTCAATTATTCATGAGCTTCAGGAAGCTGAAGGGAGGACATACGATAAAAGAAAAAAAATGGAGAAAAACGAGATTGAGTGCATCATCACAATAACCAGAGAAAAGGACGTGTCCCAGCCAGCAAATTTTCACAGAATTTGGGGGGGATTCGAAGGTAAAAAAAATTGCCTAGTCAAATTGACATTCAAAACAGAAGTGGTATGGAACAGGATCCTCCAACAGAAACCACTGTTAAAGGATTCCAGAGAATATCAGCAAGTGTACATCGACTGCAATAGAACATGAAAAGAACAGGAACAACTGAGAGCGAGGGTAAGAAGACACTAATGGAAAGAGACAGGGCAGGCATCAACAGACAGGAGAGTTCAGCCTCTGGGGGAACACCAAACACAAATTCTTACAGAATTCCCTCAATCCCTACCACCCCATACCAGTAATCAGAAGCAAACTACACTCCACAGCCCTCAACAAGCCAGCACTAAAACCACCACCACAGCAATCTTCCAAAATATCCCGCCCTCCCTTCCACACCCCCAGTTCACACCAGTCCCTCCCACCTCTCAGAATACAGTACTGGAAAGGAAGTTGAAGGTATAGTACACCAACACAAATGGAATAAATAAAAGTGAGGAGTGACAAGAACGAATTATTGAGGCATCCCCTGACATCATAGCATTCACAGAGACGAAGCTCACAGAGATAACAGTTGACACCTTTCGAACTGGATATCAGATCCTGAGGAAAGACAGAACAGAAGAGGAGTTGTATTGCTCATCAAAAAACCAGTGGAGTTTTGAGGGGATGGGTGGAATGGACAGACAGGAAGCAGATGAATTCATAGTAGGAACACTTCAGACCGTTGATCCAAAGATAATGATAGCAGTGATGTACAACTCGCCACTGAACAGCAAGAGACCAAGACAAGAGTACAATGAGAGCAATAGAGCAATGGTGCATACACTAGCTGAGGTGGCCAGAAAGGCCCACTTGGGTAGGGCAAAGTTAATCATCATGAGTGATTTCAACCACACGGAGATTGACTGGAAAAACCTAGAGCCACATAGAACAAAAACATGGAAGTTAAGGTGCTGGATACAACGAGAGACAGAAAGAGGATATACCAGCAAGGATGGACCTTATATTCACCTTGAACAGTTCAGACATAGGGATATTACACCTTTTGGCACTAGTGATCACATGGTCCTGAGTTTCGAATACCTTGTAGATTTAACAGTGGAGAATGAAGAAGTGTGAGAAGGATGGGAGAAGCCAAACTTCGAAAAGGGGACTACACATGTATGAGGCAATTCCTGCATGAGGTGCCATGGGAAAGAGAACTGGATGGAAAGACAAAAAATGAAATGATGGAACAAGTGATCACAAAATGCAGGGAGGCAGAGGAGTTCATACCGTGGGATAAAAAATGGTTTTCCTGGAGGTGTAAAGAGGCCAAAGCGAAGTGTGCTAGAACATGGAAAAATTATAGGAGGAGGGAGGCCTAGTGGCAGTAAGAGAATGACAGCATTAAAATCCAATGTGAGCAAAAGTTGTTATACAGTCACATCAGGACGAAAATAACAGTTAAGTAACAGGTAATCAGGCTGAGGAAGGAAGGAGGGGAATTCTCATAAAGTGACCAGGAAGTAAGTGAAGAGCTGAACACAGGTTTTAAAGAAGTATTCACAGTGGAGAGAGAAATGCTTCCAGCAAACAGATGCAGTAGAGTGCACCAGCAAGTGCTGGACATACTTCACATAACCAAGGAGGAGGTGAAGAAAATGCTAAGTGAAATAGGCACCTCGAAGGAGGTGGATTCAGGTAACATCTCTCCATGGGTCGTGAGAGAGAGCAGAGAGCAGAGGAACTGTGTGCGCCGCTAGCAGCAATCTTCAATAAATCTGTCGAAAAAGGGCAACTGCCTGAGGTGTGGAAGACAGCAAATGTAGTCCCAATTTTTAAGAAAGTAGACAGACAAGCAGTATTAAACTACAGAACAGTGTCATTGACATTTATAGTATGTAAAATAATGGATAAGTTCATCAAGAGCAGAGAGGTGGAGCACATAGAAAGGATTGGGCTTATACATGACAATCAGCATGTTTCAGGGATGGGAAATTCTGTCAAATCTACCTGAGTTCTACGACAAGGTAACAAAAATAAGACAGGAGAGAAAGGGAAAGGTATATTGCATCTTTCTGGACTGTAAGAAGGCTTTCGACACTACCACACAAGAGACTGATTCAAAAACTAGAGGAGCAGACAGGAATACTAGGAAAAGCGCTGCACTGGATTAGGGAATACCTGACTGGAAGGAAACAACGAGTGTTGGTTCAGAATGAGGTCAGAGTGGGGCCCATGTGTCGAGTGGGGTTCCACAAGGGTCAGTCCTAGGTCAGGTGCTGTTTCTCGTGAATGATATGATGGTAGGAATAGATTCAGAGGTGTTCCTGTTCACCGATGATGTGAAACTAATAAGAATACAAGCGGACGAGGATCAGGTAAGATTACAAGGGTATTTGGACAGGTTGCAAGCCTAATTGGACAAATGGCTCCTGGAGTTTAACCCCAGCAAGTACAATGTTATGAAGATTGGGGAAGAAAAAGAAGACCGCAGACGGAGTACAGACTAGGTGATCAAAGGCTACAATCATCACTTAAAGAAGAGGATCTATCTTGAGGTGAGCATTATACAAGCACGTCCTCTGAGGCGCACATCAATCAAATAACCGCTGTATTATATGGGCGCCTGGAGAACCTGAGAATAGCATTTCGACATCTTAGTAAGAAATCATTCATGACACTATACGTCAGGCCCATATTGGAGTATGCAGCACCAGTGTGGAAACCACACCTGGTCAGACACGTCAAAAAAAATTGGAGAAGTTCAAAAGTTTGCAACAAGACTAGTTCCGGAGCTAAGGCGTAAGTTTTATGAGAGATTAAGAATAGGAGGGAAAGTGGGGACATGATAACGACGTATAAAATACTGAGAGGAATTAACAAGGTGAACAGAGCTAGAATGTTTCAGAGATGGGACACAGTAACAAGGGGCAACAACGGGAAGTTGAAAACTCAGATGAGCCATAGGGATGTTAGGAAGTACTTCTTTTCTTTAGCCTTAGAGTTGTCAGGAAGTGGAATAATCTGGAGAGTGAAATGTTGGAGGAAAGAGCCATACGTAGTTTTAAGAAGAGGTATGATAAGTCTTCTGGAACGGGGAGAGAGTGACCTAGTGGCGACTAGCGAAGAGGCGGAGCCGGAAGCTGTGACACGATCCCTGCAACCACATATAGGCGAATACGCACACCAACACGCTCAGGGGGACACAAAGGCCTTACTCAAGATCATTGGGGTGGGTATCGTACAGAGAATATCGCTTGAAGTGCACGTCATTTGGAAAATATTGGTGGGGGAGACATAGGGTGAAAACGTTATAAGGGAGAAAATGGGAGGCTGTATTATGCTATTCGCCTGCTACACGCTTGCCAAACTTTCACCTATCAATATCTGTATTGTTTGAATAATTTAACAATAGAATCTTGATAAATCAATATGTACTATCTTGTATAAGTATAGCTAATCGAAGCTTAAGACGTAATTTAAGTAACTTAGTAATTCGAGAATATAGCCATAAACATCACACCACTTGTATCATTTTTGAGTGTGGGGACAGCCTAACATCGGGGGAGTTTCTGGAGACACTCATGATGCGTAGAGGGAAGAGCACTTAGTGATACAATAGCTCTCAAATGGTGAGGGATCATTGATCTGACTTTGTAACGCCGGGCTCGTGATCAAATCTCAGTGTGAAGAATGAGGGCTACATGAGGGTACCTTCCCTTCACACCGCTCACTAATAAAGTAAGTGTATGGCATTTACTTATTAAATAATAATTCACAGTGTTCCCAAGAAGCTTCGTGACCCACATTGCACAGACTAAAGCTGAAAGTTTGCATTATCAGTTCTAGCTATGCGCATATTATGGGTATTTTAATGTAAAATGCCACGCAGTGGATCACTCCATGGAATGTAACCAACTAGAACGAGGTACCAACCATACACCTGGTGAGTAATACACACTGTCCTTTGTCTGTTAGAGGAAGTCCTATGTTTTCTAGGGATGGATAGGTTCCTAGGTAGAGTTTACTAAATGACTTGATTAGAAGATTAATTAGTCACTTCCCCACACATATACCTCTATTCTAGACACGTCGGGCCCATATTGGATTACGCAGCACCAGTATGGAACCTACTCCTGGTCAAGCACATCAATAAATTAGTGAAAATGTAGAGGTTTGCAAGAAGATTAGTACCGGAACTAAGTGGTATGACCTGGTGAGTAATTGAAAAGTAAGACAAGAGCGAATTGCGAATGAAAGGAACGGAGCAAACAGGCGCGAACAAATAATAGATGCTACTAAATCGGACAGTTCCATGACATAAATATTTCGTCAAAGCAGAGCAGGAGTGGCAAACTGTAACAGAAATGCAGAGCAATACATTAGCATACCAAGCCTGAGCCTGTGCCACTATCAACATCAGTCAGTACTAGTAACCAAGCGTAAGCCTGGCCACTACAACATCAGTCAGTACTAGTAACCAAGCGTAAGCCTGGCCACTACAACATCAGTCAGTATTGATAAAGTCACTGGATGGCGAAACGTCTATAATAAAGATAACCAGATGTTGCACACGTGTCTTAACTCTCATGTGGGTTATTAAAACATGCAAATAAACTATATAAACTGCAGGAAATGTATTTCACTATCTCACCCACTCTCTCATTTGCTCTCTTTTTACATTGCTTCACCACTCTCTTAACCTCTCTCTTTTTCTCCATATACTCTTCCCTCCTTGCATCACTTCTACTTTGTAAAAACTTCAGTCAGTCTCAAAGATCAATCACTAATCTCTTTTAACCAACGTCTCCTAGCCATTCCTCAATTTTTAACATTCAAATCTAACACCGCCAAATTATCACTCATTGAGAGTTGCGTAGAAGACGTTAAGGGAACTCAACCTGACAACAATGGAGAATAGGGCATACAAAATACTGTGAGGAACTGACACCGTGAAAAGGGGCAGAATGTTTCAAAGATGTGAAATATAAACTAGACGGCACAGCTGGAAGTTGTAAACTTAGATGTGTAAGAGGATTGTTAAGTATTTCTTCAGCCTTGGAGTTGTTAGGAAGTGCAACAATCTGGAGAGCAAATTGGTAGAGGCAGGATCCATACATAACTTTGAGAAGAGCTAGGAGAGAATGGACCTAGTAGCAACTAACGAAGAGGCAGGGCATGGAGAAAGAGAGGCAAGGCTAGAGTCATTAGAGAACAACCAGAGTCGAGTTGAACAAAGTGCGGAAAAAAAACAGACCCACCCTCAGAATCCTGCAACCAAACACATTATCCCGACAAAAACCCACACCCCACACTCAGAACCCCCACCCCACATTTCACAGTAAATCCCATAGCACCCTGCCAGGCTCCCCACACCCCACAAACCACTCAGAATATGATGTTTGAGAGGAAACTGAAGGTATGGTACACCAATCCCGACAGAGTAACGAATAGGTACGAGGAGTGGCACGAAAGAATCAGAGGCCTCACCAGACATCATAGCCCTCAGAGAAACCAAGCTTTCAGGAATAACAATTGCCATCTTTCCAATTGGATATCAGATCCTGAGCAAAGACAGAAGGAACAGGGGGTTGGGAGTGGCACTGCTCATCAAAACCCAATGGGATTTCGAGGAGTTGGGAGAGGAGGAACATGGGACTACATAACAGGAACACTTCAGCCTGGAAGTCCCATGGCGGTGATTTCAGTTTACCTGGAGACCTGGAGAGAGTTCCGGGGGTCAACGCCCCCACGGCCCGGTCTGTGACCAGGCCTCCTGGAGTGATGTATAACCCGCCACAGAACAGCAGCAGGAGGCCCAGACAAGAATATAATGAGAGTAACAGAGAGATGATTGACACACTGGCGGAAGTGGCCGGAAGGGCCCATGGGAGCACAGCAAAGCTACTGGTTTTAGGTGACTTTAATCACAAAGAAATCGACTATGAAAACCTGGAGCTACATGGGGGGCCCAGAAAAGTGGAGGGCTAGGATGTTTAGGTGGTAGTGGAAAATCTCATGCATCAACACATTAGGAACACTACCAGAGAGAGGAGAGAAGATGAACTAGCAAGACTGGACCTAATATTCACCTTGAGCAGTGCAAATAATGAGGACACCATATATGAAACGCCCCTCGGAGCTAGTGATCATGTGGTTCTAAGCTTCGATTAAATAGTAGAGTTACAAGTGGAGAGGGAGGCAGGAAGTGCAGGACGAATGAAGCCAAACTACAAGAGAGGGGACTACACAGGCATAAGTAATTTCCTGCACGAGGTTCAGTGGGACAGAACTGGCAGGGAAATCAGTAAATGAGATGATGGAATATGTGAATAATGTGCAAGGAAGCGGACTAGAGGTTTGTACCCAAAGATAATAGAAAAATGAGAAGGCCAGGACGAGGCCTTGGTTCACCCAAAGGTGAAGAGAAGTGAAAACCAAGTGCGCTAGAGAATGGAAGAAGTATAGAAAGCAAAGCATCCCAGGATATTAAGGAGAGTAGTCAAAGAGCAAGAAATTAATATGCACAAGTAAGGAGGAAGGCCCAGTGACAATACGAAAATGACATAGCAGCGAAAGACATGTTTGACCCGAAGCTGTTCTACAGTCGCATCAGGAAGGAAGCAACAAAGACCAGGTAAGGCTGACGAAGAAAAAAGGGGAGTTTATAAGAAACGACCTTGAAGTATGTGAAGAGCTCAACATGAGATTCAAAGAAGTATTCACAGTGGAAACAGAAAGGATTCCAAAAAGACGGAGAGGTGGGGTACACCAACAAGTGCTGGACACGATACATACAACCGAGAAGGAGGAAGTGAGGAGGCTGCTAAGCGAACTGGATATCTCATAGGCGATGAGGCCGGATGACATCTGTCCGTGGGTCCTGTGAGAGGGAGCAGAGGCGCTTTGTGTACCACTAACAACAATCTTCAACACATGTATCGAAACAGGGCGACTACCTGAGGTATGGAAGATAGCAAATGTAGTTTCATTTTTTAAAAAAATGGGGACAGCGAACGCAACATGAAACTACAGACCAATGCCACTGATATGTATAGAGAGTCATGGAGAAGATTATCAGAAGAGTGGTGGACCACCAAGAAACGAATAAGCTTATCAACAACAACCAGCACGGATTCAGAGACGGGAAATCCTGTCTCACAACCCTACTAGAGTTCTATGAGAAGGTGACAGCAGTAAGACAAGAGAGAGGGCTAGGTAGATTACGTTTTCATGGACTGTAAGAAAGCTTTTGACACAGTTCCACTGAAGAGATTAGTAAAAAAGCTGGAGGACCAGGCAGATATAACAGATATGACGGGAAAGCATCAGCGAGTCACGATACGTGATGAGATGTCAGAGTGGGCGCCTGTGACGAGCGGGGTTCCGTAGGGGTCGGTGAAATAGTCTCACCAGATTGTATACTCACCACTTTAAGTTCATTAAAGATTTTGTGTTCCAACTTGAATTTTGGAATCTTGACAATAACTTCTTTTAGTGTAAGTTTATTAATTGCGTCGTTGAAGGTGTCCACATTGAGACGTTGAAGCATAGTGTCAAGAGGTGTTTCACCAGTATTAGTGCCTTTAGCAGCTTTGAAAGGCAGCAGCACGAACATGGAAGCCACGTCGCCCTTGTACGGCATCTCCAACACCGTCGCCTGTAGCTCTGCCGAGCTGCCTGCAAGGAAACGGTGGAATCCATTTACTATTCACTCTCATCCCCTCTTTATTGCCAGATCAATAGTTCTCAAACAAAGAGTCAGTGGACCCTAAGGGGTTCATGGTAATATTTAATAGGGTCTGTATTGGGTATTCAAATTTTTGAAAATTTTCAAGAAATTCAGAAATTTTAAAAATATTTATAAATAATGAGGTGTTTAAAATGAACAACGCAAAAGTACTAGCCTTAAGCTTTGAGAAAATTAACATTAAAATTTTAATTATTTTTGGCTAGGGCAAAGGCAAACAATCTGCTGTCTGAGAGAAAATGATGCTCAGAGAGAGACACGGGAATGTGAACGCGAGCACAAATCACATCGGCATCTCACAAATCACATCGGCATCATATTACTAGGCTAAGAAGCTGTTATTCTAAAAAAATTGAAATTTATAGTGGTAATATACAGAAGGTACAGTTCTTGTATATTTAGCTTCACCATCCTCATTTTCAACGTCGTCTCAATAATTTTACTAACTTTGGCTCACCTTGAAAAAAATTATCCTCATTTAATAAATGTGTACCAAAAGAACTTTGGAAAACTTACCTAACCTTAGTATAAGAAGGGCAATTTAATTTAGCCTGATCCAGTTAAATATATTTTAAATAAGTTTACAATAATTTAATAATAAATAAACACAATGAAATATATTTCTTTCGATAGATTCAGAATGATTTTTGTAAAATTATTGCTATTCAAGCTAATAACAATAGTATATAACAGTTATATGAATATGAAACAAAACGAAAGAGTACGATAGTTCAGAATGATGTGTTTAAGAGAAATCTAGATTTTATATCGCACATATCCATGACTGGGTTCGAGTACAAGTATCATTGTTTAACCCGTATATTTGCTTACATTATTTTCATTAACTCACCAATTTTGAAATTATCAGTTTGGCGCATCATATCAATGGGGATATTTTTGTCTGGGGTGGGGTAGAACGCCCCTTCGAGGGTGTTCGTGGGCTTGAAGGCCTTCTGCCAGAGACCCTTGAAGTAGGCGGCGTTCACCAACACCATCTGAACTTTCTTCACATCTTCAGGTGTCACCAAATCTGGGATTTTACCTCGAGTCTTTTGGCTCACGAATGTATTGATTGTTGCTGCTGCTTGAACATTCTGATGAGGCAAAATATCAGAAACAGAGGCACTACATTGAATATTTTGTAGAAGTATGTTTCATAGTGTGAGGGAAAAAAAGTGGGGTAGGTGTGAAAATGAAAAGGACAGATTTTTTTTTATTGCGACTGTGTGGTAAAAGTAAGTCATTAAGCCAAGAAGGCTAATAAAACTTCAGTAATAACAAGAGTGCCATGATTGCTTTTAGTGGTAGGGTCAGTAAAAGATCATTCAACTACATTATAGAGAGGATAAAATATACTATGTAGAGCTTCATCTAGAGCTCGACCGACCTGTGTGAAGTCAATATTCTGCACCTCCTTAGGAAGGACCTCGCGGATGCAGTCCCGAAGATTGAGGTCCTTGTCTACATAGACTTTGTTGGCTATGTCTATCATATATTCACTGGTGTTCAAATGTCTCTCCTCATTGCTGCTTGATCACGATGGAGATAATGTTGAACAAATACATTTGTAAGCATTTACATGTCTTAATTCAATTAAACAAAAACATATGAATAAAAAAATCTAGGCGGGTGCTTAGATGATGATGAGCTCTTGATTAAATAAGATGAAACTGCTCACCACTTCGTTCAATCACATCTGATTACTTCCTATTTCCCAGACTCTTTGTGATCTTCTATGAGCTCAGTTATTCGTCATAAACATAATCACAAAAGTGACAGTGGTATCAATTTACGTGTCAACTGAGATTTGGAAGAATACTCACAAACGTTCAAGGGCCTTATAGGTTGCTAGTGTGTTTGAAGGGTCACTCAGCCGCAGGACATTCTGTAGTTGTTGACGGGTTTGTCCAGCCGACCCAAAGTAAGCTAGGACGAGGGCGCTCCATATGCTATAAGGGGAGAAGAAAAAGTTTCCCGTCTTGGTGGGCGGGTTGAACTCCTTTAGGAGGTCCAAGCTGAAGGGGGTGATGTGCTTCAGGTCAGGGGTGAGGGGCAGGGACAGCTTGTCGTTGTTGGAGATACACTGAGGACTCACCACACTCACTAACGCCACCAGCAACACAGCTGATGACGACATCCACACCATTCTGTGGAGAAACAGAATATAGAAGTGATGTATAATAATGGAAAAATATCCTTCGCAAGGGTCACAAATTGCTGGTGAAGCTCTCTCGAGCCAAGGAACTGAACCTTCGCTTCCTCCCTCGGATCAAATCTGATTAATTTTCATTCCTTAGGCCAGGGGTTGGGATACTTTGATGAGATGGGATTTCAGTCTTCCACAGTTTTTTTTTATATATTTTATTATGTGTGTGTGTGTTATTGTAACCACGAACGAGTGGTATTGATCAATAACAACTCTGCACTAGCCAATGACTCGAACCCATGTTGTACTGGCCCGCCTCATGGTGAGCTAGAACCATATGACGCCATAACCCACAGGACCTGTGGGTGATCAAGATCACGTTCTCCAACATCGATATGGCTACCAGAGTACTTTCTCATGGCCTAGCCATCTCCTACTACCATATTCATCCACGACAAATAAACCAGGACGTTTTACTCGCGTCTCTCTGCTGGAACTGCTGTTAATACTATTCAACGACCGGCTGCCCCATTAAAGACCAATTCTCTTCCAACTATGGAATAGAAGGACACGATTTCAAAGCCTGTTCCACCACCAATGCTGTTCCAACCTGCCTCAACTGCAAGGCATTCATCATACCCTTGCAGCCAAATGCTCTCTAAGGAAGGAAGTGCTGCCTAAGAAGCTCAAAGAAGCTAAGAAGAGCAGCCCAAAATCGCCGAAATACACCGCCATAACAAAAATACAGTCTGATACCATGAAAATTCTTCAAGCTACACAACACCCATCCCTATCCAGCACCTCCCTCTCTCCACTTCCAGACGCGGCTCCCTCCAAGGTGCTGTATCGCATGGTGTATGATGCGCGCCTTGCGAATGCAGCCAACCCAGGCACATTCAACCCCACCATCAATGAACTATTCAGACTTAACAACATACCTGCCTTCGTTTTCCCTGACTGCACACGTTCATCTGACATCCTCAGGATTCTTCCTAACGTCGTTAACATCACTACTCCTGCCGACCCATCTATTGCCCACGCAGCTGTTCCTGCATCTTGCACAACCTCCCACACCACCGCTCTTGCTGCCTCGACCACCGCCTCCCAACCTGATGCTACACCACCAGAACACATCTCCACTGATCCTGCCGACCCTCAGTTACCTGCTAGTACCAAGACAGACTCATCTACTGAATACACATCTGAAGTAGAAAAGAGGAAGAAGATATTGACGACTCTACCACACCAACTTGGGAAAACCTTACATTGTACACTGCATCATCAAACGCTGACACCATGATTTGCACTGAACTCTACAAAGGCCTAGGCTCAGGAACTGTCAAGTTTTCCTACGAACAACCTCATCACTTCACACTCACCCAAATTCTGGAATTCCTCGAACCTCTTTCGTTTGTAGGAGAATGGATCTCCTACAAACCTGCCACCCTAATTGCATCAGATGCATCACCAGTATGCTGCCCTCTGATGTTCTTCCCTGCCTGCCCTGTCCTGCAACTAACCTGCTGCCAGCTTGTCACGTCTGCTGACATCCAACCTCCACAAGACCAACGCAACTAAGCCTGCTATTCCTGATTATTAAGTCTGTCCCACGATCGCTTAGCTGCTGGGTTAAGCCCTAGCACTTTTCTACGACTATGGACACTCCTCTCCAGTGCTATTCTTCGCCTGTCCCGTCTTTCCCGCTCACCCTATTGGGGACTTACCTATACTCTCTTGATCTTGACACAATGCTAGGATTGCTGGTGTCATTTTATTATATCTCATAAACACGCAAGATAACAGGTACATCTTGTTACTTCCACTTATGTTATACTACACACGCATGTACACGTATATGTATACACATCATTCGAATTTTCTATTTTCTTAATAGTTATTGTTCGTATTTATTTCTCTTCATTTCCATGGGGAAGTAGAGTCCTTCCTCCGTACGCCAGGCATGTTGAAAGATGCTGCTAAAATGTCGGGAGGAAAGGACTAGTAACCCCTTCTCCTGTAATAATTACTAAATGCAAAAAGAAAAAATACTTTGTAAAGTTGAGAGGTTTGAATGTGCGTGGATCTAGTGCAGATGATAAGAAAGTTTTGATTGCTAACGTTATGAATGAAAATAAACTGGAGGAGGTACGATATTTGGAGTGGGGACAGTTAAATGAGATTGTTAGGTGTATCTGACAGGGTTAGAGCTGAGGAAGGATAATATAGAATATACAGTAAATGCATAAATTCACGGATTATGTTGATTAAATTAAGGGTCGAATACAAAAAAGTGGGCTATAATAAATGTTTATGCACCTAGAGAACAGAAGAGTTTACAGATAGATTTTGGGAGATGTTAAGCAAGTGTTTAGAGAGTTTTGAACCAATTGAGAGAGTAATTGTGATATAGGAGCTAATTGCTGATGTGTGAGAAACTGTTGTAGAAGGTGTAATACAGTATGGTAAGTTTGGGATGCCAGGGGTAAATGATAACCAGAGTCTTCAATTAAATTTTGTATAGAAAGAGGTTTGAAAATTAATACGTATTTTAAGAAAAACAGATAAGTGCACGAGTTATGATATTTGGCGAAATGACATCAGTTTGTTGGACTATATATATTGGTGGATAAGAGGTTTATGGGTAGGATTCAGGATGTGCATGTTTTTAGAGGGGCAACAGACATCAGATCATTATTTAGTCGTAGCTACAATGAAAGTAAGAGGTATCTGGGATACAAGAAGAATGGCTTCAGTAAATAAGGTAGAAGTGAAAGTTTATAAATTGAAGGAGGAGATAGTTAAGGTAAGATAAGAGTAACTGTCGGGAGAAAGATGGACTATTAACAATATAAATAATGTAGAGGAGGGAGAAAATAAATAAAAGTTTTAGTGAGATTAATAAATTAGTAAGTTAACAAAGCCGATGGAACTAATGGATTTAACGGTAAAAAAACAGAAAAGGAGGGTTATTAGATGGGGATGTGAAGGTATTAGGAACATTTTGAGGATCTGTTGATAAATACTGATGAGAGGGAGGCAGAAATTTCATGCACTGGTCAGGGAGGCATAACATACTTTAGGAGTGTCGAAGACCCATATGTGAACGTGAGGGAGGTGTATGAAGCAATGGGTAAAATGAAACGGGGTAAAGCGACTGGATTGATGGGATCAAGAAACGATAAAAACAGGTGGAAATATAGCTTCCGAGAGGTTGGTGCTTTTTATTAATAAATGCATGAAAGGAAGAAGGTACCTAGGGATTGGCAGAGAGGATACATAGTTCCTTAGAAGGAAGAAAAATGGGACTACATAAAGTGTAAGAATTATAAAGGAATAGTTTTTTGAGTGTACCAGATAAAGTATAAAAAAATTATTGAAAGTATTATGGGTAACAAGAACAGCAAATTCGCAGATGAACAAAGTTTTAGGAAGGGTAGGGGATGTGTAGACCAAAAGTTTACAATGAAGTATATAAAGAACTATTTAGAAAGCGTGAAAAGGTTTTCGTTGCTTTTTGGATTTGGGAAAAAAAGGATTGAGGGGGTGCATAGGGGAGAATTGGCAGAGTTTAAGTGTATGAAATAGGGTGGTAGGTTATGAAAGCAAATTAATGGTTTTTACGGGGACGTGAGGTTTTCCCGTAAAGAATGTCTTATACGGTTTGTGTAATTTCAGCGGGTTTTTGTAAGAGAAGTGTATGCTCATTGTTGGAAAGGGGGTGTGGGATTATGGAACCTAACTCATAAGGGAGTTGTCGTTGCTCTTTGCTGTGACGCTACCCTTTGGGGAATTTCTGAAAGAGAATTTGCAGAGGGTTGATGCAGTTTGGGAAGGTTTTTTAAAAAAGGAAATAGTGGCTTAACAAGGAAAGGTAATGGGGATAGTTAAAAATTAAAGCATGAAAGTTTGGGGATTAGATTGGAGGGAGGGAGTGGAGTCATCAAAAAAAGGGTCTATGAAAGTGGGGAAAACCATAGAATTGAAAAGGAAAAATGATGAGGGGCGCCCTTGGGGAGTTGTGGAGATAAAAGGGGTTGTAAAACGCTTTTTAATACCTTTGTACTTTTTTGTTTAGGCGAAAAAACTTATCCTTTAAAAGGGGGGTACCTTAATTTTAGTGAACTCTCTTTATCCACAAATAAAGCTGCAATGGGTATCCTGAATCAAGCCAATAATTTTTTATTTTAGACACTGTATGACCCTTTTAAATAAAAAAAAGAAACGGGGGGAAGAACACAAAAAACACAATGGAAAGGAATGGAGAATGATGAAGAATGAAAGTAAAAGGGGAAAAGAGAGGAAACTATATAAAAGACGGGAAGGGGCACTAAAAGAAGGAAGGAAGGTAAGGGAAGCAACGCAGAAGTGGGAAAAAAAAGGGAAACATTGAGTCAAGGAATAAAATGGGGGAGAGGCCCCTAACTGACACAGGTGGGGAAAAAGAGGACACTAAACACGACGTGGAAGGGAAGGATCTGGAGAGAAATCTAGATCCTGGAAAAGTATTTGGCTTTTGTTGGGAAATTTTTTCAGTGAGGTCCAAGGAAGATGACGCCCCCCAGCCACTTCCCTCACATTTGCCTTTTATTAAAAAATGAGTTCATGTTAATGTGAAAGGAAACTTAAAAAAAATGTTTGGTGTGTAACGAAAACACTGACGCTCCCGGTCTGGGGATGTAAGAGGGGGTACAAAATTTTTATTGATGTATAGAATCATTAAAGTACCAGTTGAGTTAAATTTAAAGGGAAACTTCGCGATCAAAGGTTTTATGTATTTAAGAAGGGGAGATTTTCTTCTGGAAAGGGGTAAACTCAGATTCTGGTTAAGGGATGTTTGGAAATTTTTCTTCCATAAGGGTTTCGGAAGTGAAACAGGGGAAGTAGTGGCGAGGATCCTCATAGTATTAAGAAGAGGGACGATAAATCTCTTGAAGCAGGGGGAAAGGGGGACCCAGTAGAACAAACCCAAAAGGGGGGCCCCCGTAGCTGTG